TATATATATATATATATGTTTATTATATGTGGGGTAGGGTAAGGGTATTGGGGGTTGAACTCAGGGCCTTCACAGTGAGCTGCATCCCCAGTTGCTTTTTATTTTCTTTTCTTTTTTGGTACTGGGGATTGAACTCAGGACCTTGTGCTTGCAAGGCAAGCAGTGGCACCACTAAGCTAAATCCTCAGCCCTTTATTTTCTATTTTGAGGCGATGTTGCTAAGTTACTCAGTCTGGGTTTGAATTTGTGATCTTCCTGCCTCAGCCTCCCAGAGTGCTGTGATTACAGACATGCATCATCTTGCACAACTCAGAATGCTTTTTTTTTTTTTTTTTGTCTAGTACTGGAGATCAAACTCAGAGCCTTGCACTTGTAAGGCATGTGCATTGCCACTGAGCCAAACCCCCAGCCCTCAGAATGCTTTTTTAACAATTTTGGGGAAAGATCTAAAACATTTTCATACAGTCATGACTTAATTGACCTTAAATAAAAGCCAGCTACACAGTTTGAAAATAAAATCATATCTCTACTAAGGAATTACTATAGAAGGAACTTTCCATTCAAAAGGAAGATAACATTATATATCATTATATGAACATTACTCAGATTCTGTCTTTCAGCTCTTTGGTACCTCACTTCCCACTCTCCCATGAGGTTAAAAAATAATATTCTAAAAAGGGAATAGAACAGGAGATGTAGCTTAGTAATGGAGCATTTGCCTGGTATGCAGAAGGCCATGAGTTCAATCCCCAGTACCACTAAAAGAAAAGGAGTAAAAGCTTTGAAGCTTCATTACTATACTTTTCTCTGTGTTCACACTGTTATTCAAAGAGATAAATAAGGCTAGAATTTTTGCCTTGTCTGATCCAGATTGGCGTGGGAACAAAGTCCTCTGGACTTACAAAGCTATATCCAGTCAAAAGATAAAAAGTATCTTACTACAAAGCAAGGTTTAGGCCATGCCTTTACAAAGTCTTCTTGAAAAGAAGATGAACACACATCCCATAATACTACCTACCAATTGCGTTTCTGCACTAACCGTATAAGAGTATCATCCCAATTTATGAGCCAGGCCTGGTGGCACACACCTGTAATCCTAGCACTCTGTGAATCTGAAGTAGGAGGATCCATAAATTCAAGCCTGGCTGGATGAAATAGTGACTTAATGAAACCTTGTTTGTCTCAAAATAAAAATTTTAAAAAGACCAAGGATGTAGCTCATTTAGTACAGAGGCCCTGTGTTCAATCCCCAATGGAGAAAAAAAAAAAGAGAGAGAAAAAGAAAAAAATATATATAGCTACTTTATTTACATGCCAATTGCAGAATAGCCCTTGCCCTGAGCCTTCTGTGTACAATAATTAATATGTATGGTTTTTGTTTGGTTTGGTTTAGTTTGGTCGGTTTTGCAGTACTGGGGATTGAGGACCAAGGGCATTCACACTGACCTGCGTTCCCAAACTGTTTTGTTTTTGTTGTTGTTGTTGTTGTTTTGAAACAAGGCCTTGTTAAGCTGCTCAGACTGAGCTGGAACTTGAGATCCTTCTGTCCTAGAATGAGATACCACTGCTAGCTGTTTAGAAAATAAAATTTTAAAAGAAAAATAAACTGAAAATAATAAAATATTTTAAAGGTAATTATGACCTAGGTGGAAAAACAATCTATATTTATAGATTGGAAGACAGATTTCCTTCACTGCTGGGAACCAAACCCAGGCCTTGCACAAACAAAGCAAGCACTCTACCACTGAGCTACATTCCCACACAGAAGATTTAATATTGGTAAGATGGCAGTGCTCGTTAAATTAAATTAGATTCAGTTCAGGTCCCACCGAATTACAGCTAGCTTCTTTGCAGAAATTGACAAGTTGATCTGAAAGTTAATATGGAAATGCAAAGAACACAGAATTTTTTTTTTTAACTTTAGATTACAAAACTAAAGAACTCACTTCCTGGTTTCAAAAGTTATAATAAGGCTGGGGATTTAGCTCAGTGGTTCTGCCTCCTGCCTTGCAAGCACAAAGATCTGAGTTCTACCCGCAGTGCCAAACAAAACAAAACAAAAACAAAAAAGTTATAATAAAGTGGGCCGAGGATTTAGCTCAGTGGTTCAGCCACCTGCCTTGTAAACACAAAGACCCGAGTTCGATACCAAATAAAAAAGTTATAATAAAGCAACAATAATCAAGACTTTGTGGGACTGTCATAGGATAGTTGGTATGGATTCTGTCTCCCTAAATTTCAAATGACCTCCCTGAGTTAGTATATTTGGAGATTATACCTTTAGCAGGAAATTAAAGTGAATAAGTTCTTGCCAGGCGTGGTGGTGCACACCTGTAATCCCAGAACTCAGGAGGCTGAGGCAGGAGGATCACGGTGAGATCTTGACCAGCCTGGGCTACATAGTTCCACGTCAGTCAACTACTTAGTGAGACCCTGTCTCAAAAAACAAACAAACAAACAAAAAAAAGTGAATGAATTCTTTAGGGTGGACCTTACCTTGATTGGAATTGGTTCTTTATAAGAAGAAAATTTGAAAGAAAATACCCTGCCTTCCCCTGAAGGTACAAGGAAATGCCATGTGCAACCCATGCAGAGGGCCCTTACTAGACACCAACCTGGATAGCACTTGATCTTGAACTTCTCAGCCTGCAGAACTGTAAACACTAAATTTCTTTTGTGTAAGCCATTCCATCCATGGTATTTTGTCTTTGTAGCCCAAGCCAACTTATAAATAGCCAGATAGGTTAATGGAATAACCTATAGAGTTCTTAGAAGAAAACATAGACATAAATCTTTCTGGCTTTGGCTTAGGCAAGGGTTTCACAGATTTGACATCAAGAACATAAGCAATAAGAGAAAAAAATAAATGTACCTTCTCAAAAGGACATCACCAACAACATGAAAAGACAACCCACATAATGAGAGAAGATGTACAGATATAAGATACCTGTACCTAGGGCATATAAAGAACCATTACAATTTGCAATAAAAAAAAATACAGCATTCCTGTAATCCTAGCTGCTCAGGAGGCTGAGGCAGGTGGATAACAAGTTTGAGGCAAGCCTACTTAACATAGTGAGATGCTGTCTCAAAATTAAATAATAAAGGACTGGGATGTAGCTCAGAGGCAGCGCTCTGGCCCACCAAGCCTGAAGCCCTCGGTTCAATCTCTAGTACTACCACCACCAGCCTCGAAAAAGAAAAGAAATCTGTGATTTCTGTCTCTCATGTAGTATGTGGCCACTATTTAGGTTATTTTTCCTCCCTCTTTTTAAGCCTGGACTTCCAGAGGTCTCCTCTTTGACTGCAAAGCTTACCAGTCAGCCAAAGATTCATTCAAGATTTTCCTCAAACACCTTGAGCTACTTAAGACTTTCATGCTCTACTGATGGATCAATGTGTGTACTGAGGAGTGAACTCAAAATTCTTTTTTCACTGTTTTTACATCTTACTGGTATCCCTTGAGCCTTGCTTGTCCTCTATATATTTGCTCTCAGGCTCCATTAGCCTGGAATGTCTGGGTGAATTAGGCTCTATCAGGTCTTTGATGCATAAGCTCACAACTTCTAGTCCACTTGAGATGTGTGGAGACTTTATAAAGCCCTCTACAACTAGATAACCTCTGAGAAATGTTGCCAATCTTTTCTTGCCACTGAGAGCATTTTCAACTGATAATACTCCCAATCAAGTGAGCTTCCTTTGTCAGTGGTAGAAAGTTTGTTCATTTTTATGCCCCAACCTAGATGAACTTTGATACACACACACAAAAAGAAAGACTGCTCTTACCTGAATTTCAGTAGTTTACATGTGTCAGTACTTTTCAGTTTAAGAGTTGCCTTTATTTCTAGAGTGACAGATAGATTTTTTGACAGTTTTTCCCCCCAGCTATAGAGTTTCTTTTTGGAGAGAGATGTATCGGGCTTCTCATTGCATCATCCTGAAATGAATCTCTGGAGAAAATATCAGGAGTCTGAGAAGTAATTGTATTAACTGGTTTCCACACTTGGGGAACCTAGGATCCTAAGAATAATAATGACTTTTTAGACTTCTAGACAATAAGTAACAACTACATAGCAGAAAAAGATGCTTCTTTTTAAATTTTATTTTTATTTTTTCAGTGCTAGGGATAGAACCCAGGGGCTTGTGCACATTAGGCTCACATTCTGCTGCTGAGCTATGCCCACAGGAACAAGAAAGATGCTTCTTTAGTCATGGAAAATTGGAATTTACTGTGTTTTGTAGCTGTTTCAACTGACTCAGCATATTTTTCTTTTATTTTCATAGCTCAGATTAGTGCTTATGTCTTCCCCTGAAATTGCTTCCCTCTCATGGGGGCACATGAAAGTACAAGGCTCTACCATAACCTATAAGGATTGCAAAGTATGGCCAGGAGGAAGTCGCACTTGGGACTGGAGAGAAACTGGAACTGAGGTAAGATGTGAGGTTTGGTTGAGACTTCACGAGCCTGCCCAAGTAACTTTCAGCCTCCCAAGCCTTAACAGCCAAGTGAAAAGTTTCTGTCTGTCTCTGTCTCTTTCTCTCTCCTTCCCCCTTTCTCCTTCCTTCCCTCCATCCTGCTCAGATAGCATTCATTACCATTATATTCAATCATTTACTTAGTTTTTTGTTTTGTTTTGTTTGTACCAGAAGCAAGGTAGGCATGGTGCCAGCCCTCAGTGTTTATTTTTTTATAGGAAAACATTTACTGGTACATTTTAGACATAAATAATAACACTCATCGTGGGCCGGGGATCAGCGGTTCTGCCACCTGCCTGGCAAGCGCAAGGACCCGAGTTCAATCCCTGGTACCCCCCCAAAAAAAATTCATCATAGAAAACTTACACTTGTACACCATACCTCTCACCTCTTTTTTTCCCATTCCCCCCACCCCTCAAGGCCCCATCCCCTCCCTATGTTCAAAAGCTCTGTTTCCATTTTTTCCTTCTATTTTCATTTTTTTTTT